TAACAGGTGGCACAACATCATGGGCCAAAGGGCCTGTACTGTGCTGTACTGTTCTATGTTCTCTGGTAGAGTGTTAGACTTCCAGGGTGTACTAAGACGAGCTGTAACATCAGTTTGAGGACTCTGATGCAAAATTAATCACCAACTGGTTGAAAATTTCAGTATTCAGGTTTTGTCCAGTTGTTCAGGGACAGCTGAAGCCCATGTGAAAAAGCAGATGAGCTATTTTTCTCTGAATTATAGAGGGGCAGGAGTCTTCCCATTCAACTCCAGTAACAATTCCCCTTTCTCTACAATTTCCCAGGACTAACCTATGGGTAGACTTGATATCAGTCCAGCCAGAATTCCAAGATTCCAACCAGCGAGCTACAGTGGGGGACTTGATTGCTGTCTGCAGCTTACTGGGCACAGTCAGGTGAGGACCAGTTATATTTGATATTTGCGACAACACCTTTGTTTGGGTGTATGTGACAAATTTCCTCACACTTGACAGATGGGGTTGGTGGTGGTGGGGTGTGAAGGGAAATTCAAACTTCTTCCCAAACATGCTACAGGGAAACAACCTTTAATTTCTCAGCATTGCTCAGCTACACCACAGACATTTAAAATAAACTAAAAGCACATCTACTGTGTAAGACTACTTTGAATATTAAATAAATAAATTGCTCACAATCTCTTGTTGTCTCCTGACTCATTTTTCACAGTTGGCTAATACTAGATTGTATTTCTAAGCTGCATTGATGTGGTGACCAGTCAGTAAAGGACAATAATGAGTAGATAATGTCAGAAATGCAACACCTTATTAAATTATGATAGCCATTTGGACCATAGCATATGCAGAATGCTAGAGAGATTTTTCAGAAATCGAACTGATTCAAATTCCCATATTTATATCTGAACTTGATTTCAACCACAGCAATAATCAATTTCATAATCTCTAAAGCTCTCTCGACAATTACTATGATAGATGCTCACACAGTAAGGCCCTAACACATCTGGCTTGTAATCAAAAGCAAGCGACATTTGCTTTGTGTTGCTTTCTGAAGCAGCACTAATGCAGAAAATCAGATTACAGTGGTGACAGGCCTAAAGAGGCCTGTTCTTCAAAGTGCTTCCAGTAATTTGAATCCATGTGCAATGCTGTCAGGTTATATGTATTCATCTCTCCAGTGTCCAAAGCATAACATTTCCGATTTATATGATTTAAACTTTGAACCAGGCAGCATTGTTTATAGCCTTGAGTTATGGAAACTACTGAAACTATAGTCCAGGCTTTACATTGGATTGCATTCATTATATATCACAGAAATAGCTCATTTGGCCTAACTAGTCAAAAATATAATATTAATGTATTTGAAGCAAATTGTGGTCTAGACTTCTCATTAGAGAGTAGTAGATAAAGAGAGTATTTTTTCATTAAAGACTGTTTATGCTATGTGCCCTGAATACTTTTAAAAAGATTTTGGCACGAACATCCCATTAACAACTGAAGTAAAGAACCTAAGGATATGTACAGGCATAGCTGACAAAAATTTCAATGGAACATAGTGACTCCTGTTTATCTGGAACCATAAACACAGCACCTATTGTTAGTTTGCACAGTACTAACTGTAATAGAGTCATAGAGTCATGCAACATTGAATCAGACCTTCGATCCAACTCATCCATGCTGACCAAGTTTCCCAAATGAAACTAATCTGACTTGCCTGTGTTTGGCCCATTTCGCTCTAAATGTTCCCTATCAACATATCTGTCCAAATGTCTTTTAAATGTTGTAACTGTACCTGCATCTATCACTTCCTCTGGCAGTTCATTCCACATTCAAATCAGCCACTGTGTGAAGAAGTTGCCCTTCAAGATTTAAAAGTTCTCTGGGGAAAAGACCTTTGCTATTCATCTTATCTATGACCCTTATAGTTTTATAAACCTTTATAAGGTCACCCCTCAACCTCCTTTGTCCCAGAGAAATAAGTCCCAGCCTATCCCAATGACTCAGACCTTCCAGTCCCAGCAACATTCTGGTAAATCTTTGCAGAACCCTCTCCAATTTAATAATATTTTTCATTCATTCACAGAATGAGAGCATTACTGGCTGGGCCAGCACTTATTGCCCCTCCCTAAATGCCCAGAGAGCAGTTAAGATTCAACCACATTGGTTGTGTGTCTGGAGTCACATGTAGGCCAGACCAGATGGCAGTTTCCTTCCCTAAATGACATTAGTAAACCAGATGGATTTTTATAACCATTGACAATTCTTAATTCTAGATTTTTATTGAATTCAAATTCTGCCAACTGCCATAGTGGGATTGGAACCCAGATCCCCAGGACATTACTTGGGTCTCTGAATTAACAGTTCAGTGATAATACCATTAGGCCATCACCTCCTACATAATATCCAGCCTATAGCAGGGTGACCAGAACGATACACAATGCTCCAAAAGTGGCCACACCAACATTCTGCATAACCTCAACATGATGTCCCAACTCCTATACTCAATGATGTGAGCAATGAAGGCAAACGTGATAAATGCCTTCTTAACCACCCTGTCTACCTGTGATGCAACTTTTAAAGAACTATGTACCCAGGTCTCTCTGTTCAACACCGCTATTCAGGGCCCTACCATTAACTGAATAAGTCCTGGCTTATTCACTTTACCAAAATGTAACACCTCAGATTTATCAAAATTAAACTCCACCTGCCAAACCTCAGCCCATTGTTCAAATTTGGATGACAGAATTGTAGTTTAATATGTGAAATGTTAGGAAATGTTCTCTTTTTAAACCTTTTCTCGGTGTCTCCTCCTTTCACAGGAAATTAGGTAGATAATAACTTGTTCAAGGAGTTTGAGAACAACTTTTGTGCAGGTTTTCTCGGGCTCCACAGTGACACCAGAAAATTCCTGTTCAGTTACTTCAAACAGTGCCACAGTCCTAAACTGAAGGTCCATGCAACAATAAAGGTGGTTTCACTTTTGAAATCCATAGAAAACCTTGAAATAAATGTGACTCAGAGAAGCTTATACTACAGGGAAGGCCATTTGGTCATATGTATCTATGCTAGCCCTTTTGAAAGAGCTATCTAATTAGCTCATTTCCCCAGTTTTTTTTGATATACCCTGGTAAATCTTTGCTTTTCAGACCTTTCCAATTCTCTACTGAAAGTTACTACTGGATCTGTTTTCATTACCAATTCAGGGTAATGTAATTCCATTATCTTAAATATGTATCCTCTGGCAACTGACCCACTTGTCAAATTGAACAGATCCTTTTCATTTGCCCCAGTAAAACGTCTCATAATTTCGAACATCTGTAATAAATCTCCACCTAATTTTCTCTCCTCTAAGGTATTAAGTAGAATGATTCAAACTTCTTTCATGTTACAACTCTGAAATTCTACGTCCCTGATATTATCCTGGCAAATCTCATTCATACTCTTTCCAAATAAATTATATCTCTGTTGAATTAACCTCTTCTGCTTGAATACTTCAACAGTTAAATGAGATGAAAATAATCACATTAAGTGTTTGATGCAATAGCATGGAAACAACTATTCCATGTAAATAAATCCTTTCCTTAAGGAGCAAGGTAGAATAATGGTTATGTCACTTGACTAGTAATCTAGAGGACCAGGCTAACGTTCTGGGAACCTAGACTAGTCTCCCACCAAGGTACATGGTTAAATTTAGTTTCATAGAATCTGGAATTAAGAGCTCCTGCCTAATGGTGACCATATCAATTGTCCAAAACAAAAAGTCTGGTTCACAAACATCCTACAGAGAAGGAAATATATCATCCTTACCTGGTAGTGCTAAGCTGCCTTCTTGAATTGCTGCCATTCTTGGGTCGCAGGAACATCCAGAAATGTGAGGGAGGGAAAACCAGGATTTCGACCCAATGACACTGAAGGAACAGTGGTATATTTCCATATCAGAATGGTGAAAGCTTGGAAGGGAACTTGTAGGTGGTGGTGTTCCATGCATCTGCAGCCCTTGTCCTTCAAGGTAGTGGAGATCACAGTTTTGAAGCACATTCTAGAGGAGCCCTGTTAAGTTATGCAATGCATCTTGTAGATGATGTACATTGCTACCAATGATGACAGTGGCAAAGACATTAAAAATAAAGGGATAATAGTTGGAGATGAAACCAGGCCCAGGAACAAAAATCACAGGATCTGGTACTCAGCCCCTAACACAAGCATTGCCTCCACACCGTCAATGTGAGCACAGGGCCATTGCCTCTAACTCAAGCACAGCTGCTCCCCCTAGAGCTTCAGTCCGAGGTTATTGGATGCTGATGTAATCCTCTATCCTGGGCAGTGGATGAAACTATATTTGAAACTATATAGCTGTTCTTTCAGTCTTGCTACGTCAAAATCGTTCAATTCCCTTCTTAACAACATTGTGTATGTACTTACAACCCATGGACTACAGCAATTCAAGGCAATAATTCAGTACCATCTTCTCAAAGACAATTAGGCAGCAAGCAATAAATGGTAGCTGAACCAGTGATGCTGACATCCCATGAATACATAAATAAAAACTCTTCTTCACAATTCCCAATCTCAGTTGTGAGCTGTTCTTTGTGGATTGAGTTGAAGCAGAAGTCGCTGAATGAATATCAACCATTCTTGTAAACATTACTGAAAGAGTAACAAGTGAGATACTGCAATCCCCTCCTACGTTCTTTAATACTGTCTCATACTGGGAGATTAATGAATAAAAGGATGAAATCATGTTGTACTATTGCAAAGTTAATTCTCTGAGGTAATGTTCTATGGTCACAATGAACTCTGTATTTTGAATTTGTCAGTGATTCACATTTCACTTAAATCAACAGCCAGAGGGGAAGGAGCGCAAGAGAGTCCACATATCATGTTCATACATAATTCATACAGAATTAAATCAGATTACAGTGGTGTCCCTACTTTTAGATGTTCAACCATGCATCCTTCGATTAACTCCTCAATGTCAATTCACAATTGTAAACAGAGGTATACATACCTGGTACAACACCATTGGTAGCAATTGCACTCATCGAGATTGCTGTTAACATAGTCTGAAAAAGAAATGAAGGTGTAAAGTCAAATGAGAGGATGGATCGTTAATTTCAGGGTTGATCTATAGAAAGCACATCTCAAAATTAACTGTTTAATTGGTCATTTGTCATTGGGCTTTGAGAAACTCCTGAAGGGCAAATAATGAAACCATGAGGTTGACTATCGATCCAGGGTTGGAATTCAATGCTAGGATAATTCCTGGTCCTGATCCCATACCTTATCTGCATTGCACATGTGGCATGATGCAAATACTAATTTCCAGTCATTAGAAAGCTTGGTTTTTAATTATTGTTGTCAAACACAAGCAGGAGGCTGGAGCTGCCTACTAAGCATGAGTGGCAAAAGCAGATAGCAACCATTTTGGGGTCTGCTGCTGCCTTGCAGAAGAAAGGAGGCCGCGCTTCAGTGTGTTAACAGCTTCACTTTGCTCAAAGGTGGCTACAAGGTCAAGTGAAAGGTGCTGAACTCAATGTGGGGCATAACCCCTCTTACCAAGAATTTCTTATCACAGAAAGACATACTTAAATGTTCTCATGCATCAACAGCCATGCACCAATGTGCATCAGTCTATTTGCATTTTAGATTTACAAAATGAAAATCAACTTTTGACTCACCCCACCCAACCCCCCTCCACCCTGCCCCCCGGCTCTACAAGAAGCTCGGTGAAGGACTTAACAGTTAAAATTGGATGCATGTGAGCTCCTACAATATACATGGATATAAGCCTTGTGACCAGGAGCTTTATCCTATCTGAAATGTTCTTATATCTTTTTGATTTCTTTTTTCAAATGTCTTGCCACCGTGTAATGTGGTTGTAGCAAATACTGAAGCCAGGTAACAATTCCATATTTTTGTCATTACCTGTGTGTTCAATTTGTGTGTCCCTTATGGTCTTATCTTGATTTTTCTTTTATTATTAAGAGTCTATAGTATTTCTTCATTTTTATTCCTTGATAATTTCAGGCTGTTAGATAAAACATTAACATTTCTGGATAATGTAATCTTATTGTTTTGATTGCTTACTAATTTTCTTTTCTAACCTCCTCATATTTCATTTTGTTATCCTCTTCTCTGGTCTTTAAGCATTTGGTGTGTGATTTTAATGTCATTCCTGTCTCTTGATTTAACTATTGTCTTTCAATGTTGGCTAATTTGGCCTTGCTTTTCAGCAAAAAAATTTCACCATATATTTCTATATGTGTATAAAATATTATAAAACTACATTTTTCACCATTTTAAATATTTTCTGTTGCTGTTCTATCTGTTCAAATTCACCAAAATTTGTCATTTTGTCCCCCAAGCTTATTTTCCCTACTTCTAGCCTCATCCTTGGTTCTAAATATTTGGTAACTGTCCATCAGGAGTACTTGCACTCAAAGGATATGCATGGCTTTCCCTACCAAAAAAGATGCTTTAGCCTCAGATTGCAGCTCATCTAGGAAAACAAAAACTATATGCAAGACAATCATAGAATCCCCACAGTGTAGAAGCAGGCTATTCAGCCCATCCCAAAGAGGATCTCATCTGGACCCAGATCCCAACTCTGTCCCTGTAATCCTGCATTTCCCATGGTTAATCCACCTACTTTACACATCTTTGGACACAATGGGCAGCTTAGCACGGCAAATCCACCTAACCTACACATCTTTGGACTGTGGGAGGAAACCAGACCACATGGAGGAAACCCATGCAGACACAGGGAAAATGTACAAACTCCACACAGTCAGTTGCCCGAGGGTGGAATCTTACCCAGGTCCCTAGCGCAATGATGTAGTGGTGCTAATCGCTGAGCCACCATGTCACCCCTACAATGGAAGCAGTTTCAATTACTTTTGTGTAATAACTATCTCAAGAATCTCAGAACTATGATGACCTGGGGTAGAGCGCAACAGAGACTGGTGTAATTATTTTGTCATTCCTTTATAAACGATAGTCCGATAATTCTATTCAGCGTTAGAACATTTTGGAGTGGATTTGTCATGACTTCTGGCACCCCTTGACCTTCACAACTCTATCAGTTTTTAACAGAGATTCTCTTAAAAAAAATTAGATTGAATTTTATCAAAGCTTGGCTCATTGTTAATTTCTTGGAGTTTCATGAAGGATTTCTCACCATGAGGCCTAGTAAGTTTTCTGACACAATTTCACACTGCTCACCTCAATATACCTCAATGGCATCATGCTTGCAATATTGTGCGCCCATCAGCACTGCAAGTACTTGCTACTGCCAGGACCTTCCTGCTGCAGTGCCTTATTTAAACCCCAGTTGGGCACCAAGTCAAGTACTGCCAGTCAGGAACAGATTTTCACAATTGAGGTGGGGGAAGAACTGTCCCAAGATGGATGACAGAGACAAGTTGGCTGCTAGATTAGCTGCTAGGCTAGTGGAGGTCCTGGTGGATAGGGTGGAACAGAGGAGATCACAATAACAGATCCTGCCAGTCTGGTCTGAACTTGAGTCGGTGCTGTGTCTACACTCTGAAGAATGTCCCATGAAGGTTAGTGACCCTCTGTGCTCTGCAAACATAGGTGCCATCATTATCTTTCTGCTACCTCACACTCTCTCTAGCTCTGCTACTGCATCCACCTTCCACCGAAGCTCACAGTCTTCCACTGTCTCCAACGCAGTACAGCATTTCCTCTCATTCATATTCAACCATCCTCAATGTTTCAGACTTGTATTGCCTCTACGCCCTTTGCACTGCTTACTCACTCACTCAGGAGATCTTACCACTTATCCCCCACCTGCACAAAAACTAACTGCTGTGTCAGCCACTTTCAATTCCTCAATTCCTCCCTTTGTCTCATTCTAGGAGAAAATAACCAACAAGAGGATGGACAGATGGATGATAAGTGCCCATTTTCCTTCTCTTTGCCTTCCACAAGGTTTGAACCCTTGCTCTGGTTGGAGAGGGCTGTGTCTGCTCATGTGGTGATGCTGAGACCTCCATGTCCCTATAACCAAGTGAAATATATTGTCAAATGCTTCACTGCGCTCCCATTACCACCACTGTGAATCTATCTTTTACTTCTATTCCTATTTTGTAACTCATTCTCTCTCGCCTCCTGAAGAGACAAGTGACATCCATGAACAGACCAACCCGTCAGGACATCATTTCTTCCTCCATTTCTGAGGAAAAAGGCATAGATCTCTCAGGGGAACCCTAACTCCTGAACCAACTCAGATATCTACTCCTCGTTGGGTATGTTGGCTACTATAGAATTGGCCACATACCCTGGTGAGAACATTACTGCCATGTTGCTGAAGCTGGTTGAGGAAGAAATGCCCTAAATTGCAGGTACAAGGAGGACTGTCAAAGACTAAGCACTTGATCAGCCCCAGATAGTAGGTGACCCCATGGCATCAGCCGTTAAAATTTGCACAGGAACAGCAGGCAGGTTAGTGAGAGGCACTCGGCAAACTGAAAGGTTGAAGGAGTTAACCAATATTCTACACAAAGCTGCTCCCAGCATGTGCACATTTGGGGCTCCCTTCATGGACAAGTTGATGGCTGCCATGGTGACCCAAATTCAGCAAACTTGGTGGTTGCTGGATATATGTACACTCCATCATTCTAGCCACTGGTGCTCAGCACCAACAGCGAGGCCATAACAACAAGTACCCAACACACTGGAAAATGGTATGATTGGTTTGTGGTCTAATTGTGGAGTTAGCAGCTCCTGCAGGCTAGGAAAGTGAATGCTACTTTGCCAACCAGAGTGAATCTTTCTAGCCTACTTGACATTATTTGTGTTTCAGAGCTATTGTTCGGATTGATTTGTAATGTTGAATGAGAGAGTAAAATTTGCTTGGGGCCAGGATTTTTAGTAGGTCAATGCATGGCTCCCAACCAACTCATTTCTTTAAATGCTCATCTCCACATTTTAATCCTTGAATCCCAGGCAATCCACACGGTCATTCCAAACATATCATGCCCTGTACCCCCTCATCGAGACCCAGGATAGTAGTAACTGTTGATGAACCTTCCCTTGCTGTTCCCCTTACCTTCTTGCACTCTATTATTTCCCATCCATATATGTTGAGTTCCTCCTGTTTACAATTGTTATGCCCTCTGCATCCAAACATGTAGCCTCCAATGTCCACCATGAACTTCCATAGTGTCCCTATCGTAACAGCGGCCTCTGATAAACCTTCCTTAACTTTCAATGAGCAGACCCCCTGGACTGACCATGGCACACCACTCCCAACTGAGTTGCAAGAGATAGTAGGAACTGCCGATGCTGGAGTCTGAGATAACAAGGTGTGGAGCTGGATGAACACAGCAGGCCAGGCAGCATCAGAGAAGCAGGAAAGCTGACATTTCGGGTTGGGACCCTT